ACATGTAACTCCTATTTCTACATCATTATCTCTCATTCATATGCATTGATATAAGGATGTAGTGGTTACCAAAGTGTGCCTATAAATATAGCACACCATTATATCAAAAGTGAAGAATGAATAAGAACTCTTCCCTCTCTTCTCTTGTGTCTTTCCCTCTCTAATCATCTCTTGTAGTTGCTTATATTTTCATAGTTTCATAACACTCCGAGCAATGTGTAGTTAATCTAGGAGAGGTTATAATCTTCCTTCAATATTCTTTTTTTTTATAATGATGATTGAATTAAAGGAAAACGAACCAAAATCGAAACAAGAGTCAAAGGAAGAGGGGTTCACAAGCAACTGAACCCAACTTCCCAGAAAAGCAAAAAAGTACAGCGACAGAGTGAGGCCGCAAAAAACCTGCCCAGAAACGAAACAGAAAAGAGAGACCTGGGAGGCCAAGAGTGCCACAATCGATCCGCACAAATCTTCCTTCAATATTCAATACGATTAGATTCTTTTCCTCTCTTTTTTTTTATGGAGATTCTTTTCCTCTTTATTGTAAAGACTTTTGAGCTCATTAGGAGCACTGTACTTTGATGAAGCTACACAACAAATAGTACATCAACTAAAAAAAGTTAAATAGTGAAATAATTTTTTATGGCACAAATGTAAATACAAATTTAACCCCATTTCCCCCACTTAACGGTAAATGTAGATGCAAGCATTAGCAAAACCGTAAAATAATTCTTAACATATCATTATGAACAATATATACGAGACTATGTCGACATCGATGAGGATTCAATAATCCCATCAAATCGTGAGTCATTGGCAGATTCATAATCGCCACAACGATGGAGATAAGTTAGAAGTTAAGAGGGGCTACAGCCCACATCTACTTCGAAATATAAACAAAATAACATGTACAATTCGTAATCAATTAAGAAAATAGAGCGATCGGTCAACCTTAGCCCCTTCTTCATTCATCGCACGATAAAATCAGCTCATATCTTTCATTTTTCTCACTCCTTCCCTAACGATTGATGCAAAGTAACTACTCTTTCCATACCATTTCCAAACAAATCACTCTCAAGGATTCGCCATTATCATCAACAGTTTATTACCCTCGGAAAGAAAAAGGAATACTAATTACGCGATTATTTATATAAAATTACAAATGGCCACTTATGTATTTGATTAGATCATAGTCAAGCTCGTCGGTGGTTTTGCTGCCCATATATCCCAATCAAAGCAGCATTTCTTTTTCCTTTGATTCGACCCGACACAGCAAATGCAGGAAGAACACGTGTTTCCTGGCCACGCCTTCTCGAACCTAACACCAAAAAAAAAAAATATTTTTCTAGTTATTTGTTTTGTCTCTCAGACAGCACTTTCGAAAGAAACCAATTAACAACCAACCAAAAACAGTACAGTGGGTTCCTCGATGGGACAATTTAAACACGAAAATAAGTAAATAACAATAATAATATTGCCAGTGACGACCACGTGTCCCCTCTCCCTTTCATTTTTAGTCCCCCGGTGTTGGCCTAACACCTTCGCTCCTCTCATTGGTCCAAACAGATTGGCCTGTGGAGCCCACGCTTAGATACGCACCTGCTACTTTATTACTGCTGTTTGATTAACAATGTACATAATTACAATTAGTTCCCTTCCAGATCCAGTCACTACATAATTAGCAATTAATCATAAAAAAGCCCGAAATATTTGTTATGGTAAGCTTATAAGAATATAATCGTTAGTTCCTTGTTAATTTGTAGAGCTGTTAATACGTAATACCCAATAAAATTGAAGATACACATGTATATATATAACACATTAGTTTATTACTAAATTGTTCAACAGAAAACTAAAATTTTCATCACTAAAGATAATTAAAATCCATTGTTATTCATCACAAGAAGTTATAATAGAGCATTTAAATAAACTATCTCATGAAGAAATCATACAATTTAAAATTCTAATTAGTAATTAAGGTGACACTCAATAGTAGATCGTGTAAAACGGTAAATCCATAAGGAGGATAGAAAACAAAGAAGAAGTAGAAATAAAATTACTTAATAGTATCAGATTGCCTCAAATTGGAGTGGTTCATCCAATTTCATATCCAACTGCTCATCCTAGTTCGTGCAAGCAAATGGACCGACCGAATTTGTAAATGTGTTGGCACTTGTACTAATTCGATTGTTAAACTTATCTGATTCTTATAACAAGGGTATTAACTTATGAATACAATGGCATTAACTGATATTGTTGATCTATCGAATATGCATAAAATTATTTTGGTATTATATGTGGATATATACCCTTTTTTTCGACGAAGGAGTTGGTATTATATCTCATCAGAAATTAACTTCAATGGCTACAAAACTCTTCCAACCTAGCCTGTTCAGCCTACCTATAGGTGGCAGTTCGGTTACCGGTTATTGGTTAACCAGTCGGTTAAACTGATAACCGACCGGTTATCCACTAACCGGTAATCAAAGTAACCGAACTTCGGTCGTTTATCGGAGGTTGGACAAAATAGTTTTTTGGTCTTAAAAGTGGTTCAGTTAACCGATAACCAGAGAAACCAAAGCCTATTTCGGGTGGTTTTCTGTAGGGAGAGTGTTATTTTGGTTAACCGGACAATCGGTTACCGGTTATAACCGAAATAACCAAACTGTCACCCCTAATACAACGAGACACGGAGCAAACGACAAAGTAAACTTAAGCCCTGAAATTTTGGTATAGATATATTTTCCCTGCTAGCTACCAATGTAAATTTAAGCTTAATTAAACAGGGTAGGTTATGGGCTCGGTTTGATTGAAGGAATGTTCTGGACTAGTGGGTTTGAATATATAGTAATATAAATATGAAAAAATCTGAATGTTATCTAGGTACATTGCACGTTTTTTATTAGAAACAAAGGGAGGAAAGAAGATAACAATGACGTACAATATATAATATAACTACTCTACAACGTTAAATTTTCTTTGTAGGTCTGATATTTATATATTTTATGTATTGTTACGTTAGTCATAATTTTAAATACAATTATTGTACTTGAATAATTCAACGCCCACTCAATGAGTTGGAGAAATCGATCATTAATTCAACCGCAAATTATTGATCATTCAAACTCAAAAGTGAAGCTTCCCATTATTGTGTGAAGAACGGTTTGACGACCCTATTTTTTAAACGCATGAGATGTAATTTTATATTTGTCTTAAAAGAAAAATTAATACAATTGAAATTAGGAGTTAATAAGGGACAATAAGGTCATTTAACAGCCCATTAACCGACCATTTAACGGAAAATTGGATGGAAGGGTACAATCGTTACGTTTTAATATTATAGAGGTATGTTCGTGCAAAAAATTAGTAGAGTGATACGTTTGTTAATCGGCAATAGTAGAAAGGTACGAAATGTTGTTAGCCCTTTTAAATACAATTATTGTACTTGAATAATTCAACGCCCAGTCAAGGTGTTGGAGAAATCGATCATTAATTCAACGGCAAATTACCGATCGTTCGAACTCAAAATTTTCAAAGCATAAGAAGTAAGAAAGCATATTGCCACGATCCATGTGACTCCGCTTTTGTTGGAAACATGCACTAATATACTTTTGGAAGATTATTGGGAATGTTGCTATGCGAGAACGGGAGGTCGAAAATCTAGATTGACAGTAGAGGCATGGTTGATTGTGATTTGAAAATTTTCTTTTTGTAGAAACGTTTGTTGGCTATAAAGTTTGAACCTAAAGTGTCGAGAAGGTTATATCGTTCTCGTGTTACTAGTATTTTGAACTCTATTAATTGATTAATACAACAAAAACTTAATTAGCATCCTAATAGAACGGTAAAGCATGAATCCTTAATGGCATATCGAACGCTCGACATTCCCAAAATCATTGGATTCCAACGTTTCTTTGCAAGGTTGGGGTTAGACAAAGAGATGAAGAGAGCAGCCGGAGAGTGAGAGAATGTTTGCTATAAGGTAAGGCCTAAGAATGGACCAAACAGTATAAACCGACCTATATCTCCGACACAATGACGGACTGCAAGAAACCATCATTCCACAAAAGAAGACACATAGAACGATCGACTATACCATATATATCAACTGGCCGGTGTTCTTGCTTTTAGTGTTCCTGTTCTGCCTTGTTTTGTTTTTGTTGGGCTGAAATGAAAGTGAAACCAACAAATGAAAATTACCTTTGACAGAGAAACGGGTCGGGTCGGGTCGGGTCGGGGACAACGCAGCATGGGGGAAACCTGGCCAATCAGAGAGCCCACACCATATGCTCTTATTAATTCTCTTTGGTGTTTGCCCTAGGACACGTGTTGATCCTTTTTCTCCGTCCAACCCTTCTTTCCATAATTATCGCCTCCACTACCTAGCTAGCTAGCTCCATATCTCTCCCCAAGAAACCCCACCTCCACCGGAGAGAAAAAAAAAGCCACAGACAGACAGACAGACAGACAGAGAGCAAGAACAAGATCGGAGATATGAACAGCGGCGGAGAACCATCCAGCTGGCGCATGATAAGCTGGTCAGCCAACCACGGCGGGTTTGGATCGGTGCAAGACGTCGGTCCGACGATAACCAACCGGATCATGCTCCGTTTCCGCCCCATCGCCCCCAAACCCGCCAACCCAGATCCCTCCGCCACGGCCTTAGCAAACAGCTACAGGCCCAGGAAGAAGCGAAAGTACGTTAGGGTTCGCAAGAGAAACAGTACTAGTTGTTCCGTCAAGAAAAAGGACACGTCATCATCGTCGTCCTCGCCGGATCCCAAATCCTCAAACCACGTCGTCACCCTCCAGCTCCTCCCGGAGAAAAGCCACCCGCCTAAGGAACAAGAGGCAGCAGCTGTAGATCGGAACATGCTCTCGTCGTCGTTGCCGCCGAGACAGTGCAACCTGGATCTCACCGTGGCCGCTTCTGCAGCCGAGGATGACAACTATTATTACCATCACGGCACAGATCTGGTGACGTGGCGGCGGGGGCAGGAGGTGGAGGAGTCGTGGGTGACGGTGGAGTCTGTGGCGGAGATCTCGTCCTCCTCCGCCTTCGGTTACTGCATGGATCTGGAGGAAGTGAAGATCCGCTTGGATGGGGACACGTGTCCTGGGTTCGTATCGGACGGCTGCAACCGAGTGGTGTGGGTGAACGGCGCCTACAGGAGGATGGTGGGGACGGCGTCCGTCGTGAGGGTGGTGGTGGGGATGAAGGATGATGAGGTGGCGGCGTCCTTTCATCGCGAGGTTGGAGGAGGAGCGTACACGTGTTGGGTGAGGGTGAGAGGGGCGACGTGGAGGAAGGAGATGGTGCCGTGTGACGTTTGGAGGGTGGAGAATGGTGGGCTTGCATGGAGGCTCGACGTTGAGGCCGCCCTCACCCTTGGGCCGGGTTCAGAAATTGATCGGGTTGGGGGTATTACCCAAGGAACCCTAATTGCTCCTTGAAAGCAATAACCCACCAAGGTAACTTAACTATAAAATTAAAATGTGGAGTATTTATTCTTTCTTTCTTTCTTTCCTCTTAAATAGGACTAACCAATCTTCCAAATCCACCTATATATATATATGCCCATTCTCAAAGGACCACACACAATGTCGACAGGGTAGGGATGGGGATGGATATTGATGAGGTGGAGATTAGCTTATTTGGGTTCTTGGTATGATATCATTTAGCCAGCTTTTAGTTCATAATTTACATCGAAGAGAAGTTAAATTGAGAGTTTACTTCGACTCGACGACATTGAACTTATTGTTATTGTTTGACTAAAAAAAGTTGTTCCATGGTATAACATTATACTAAGATACAAAAGAATAATGGGTTGGATATTTTCATGAATAGTTATTATTATCAAACCCCTAGGACTAGGATATGACTAGAGGATGAAGACAGGTGGATAACATATGAGAGGAGACTCTCGTTGTTATCATAGGACAAGCGGCTTATTGGCTCGTCCCATTAATGTTGTTTGTTTGTGATCGAACTAATAATCAACTAATAAACCAGAAAGATCTTCAACCAAACCCACTTTATTATAATTACAAAAATGTAGGTACAATAAACAATGACATGCCTAACTAGCTAGCTAGATATAGCTACTTGATAGCTAAGTTAAGTACACACAAAAAGGATAACTAGCTATAGCTACCTAGGGATGATTGTATTAACAATAAGAATATTAAGTAGCACATACATAATTAAGTTCACCTTCATAAAAAAAAATTATCAAGACCACCAAATTTTGTTTCTCAACATACAAATAGAGAGCAAAGTAAGATGATATGAGAATTGGACACAATATATGGTACGTCCGTACGTGGTATAGGTGTCCAAACTCAAAATCTAATAAGATTTTGGTTTTACAATGGAGAGTGAATTTGTTCTTGCTCGTATATATCTTCATGAATTCATGATAAACTTAAAACTTCCACCACAATGCTGTCTAACTCGTTTTGTTTTGAAAAACCACGATTCATATTGATTGGGGGATAATCACAATACTGTCCAACTCTTTTTATTTCTTATATAACTTATAAGTACGTTGAGAGTACGTGCATGATGCATGCAGGGTTTGAGAGGGGGAACACATATATAATGAGCAAGTTGTGGGGAAATTGGGTTTTTTTAATGAAAAATATTGTCTAATACTAAGCCATATAATACCGTCTGTAAGGAATAAGATGCTTATGTATTGCCAATTTGGCACTAAAACACTTCAGAATGTCTAACTAGCTATTAAAAAAATAAAAAAAGAGGAATTTTTAACTAGTAGTACTCGAACTTATCTCTAGACTCTAATACCGGTAGTTACTATCCAGATGAAGTTAATTAAGATTTTTGCTTTATATGTCAACGGATAAATCAATTAAAATTAAATCGTGGTTTCGATCCATATCAGCTAAATCTTACAGATTTGTGTTTAGATCCAAAAGTTCCACTCTAGATATCAAATTTTTGTTGTTTAATTTGAAAATATAATAAATCTTCATAATTTATGAAACAATCTTTCAAGTGGGCAATATATAAGCTTTTGAGAACATTTGAGTCGCTTCTAGTTTAGAATTGCTAATTAGTAATGCCAAATTTTTTATACATTAATTGTTTCTTGGTTGTTGTTTGAGATATATATGCATCTAATATCTTAGGGCGTGTTTGTATATGATACATTCTCGATTTTTGAATGCATATGAGGTACCTTATTTCATACTCAGCATTCGATTCTTTTTACATCTAAAAACAAACTCGAACTTGTTCCAATTGTATAATTATGAACAACAAAATATGTGATTTTTTAAGAGAATAGCATTTAGGACTTGATTGACTCATATTTTTTTAAAGTTTATTGGTACAATGTTAGAAATTGAAATTCCAAAAATGACCACTATAAATGACATATATGAATTAATTGTGATTCTAATTAATCTCTGTCATTATGTTAAACAAAGGGTCCATCCTTCAAATGTATGACTCATGCACCCTTTACACTTTTCTAATATTCTACCAAGAAACCAAAACCAAACTCCCAACTCCCAACTATACATATATATATACTCTTTCAACCAACGATCGATCACTTGTTGCACCTTGTTTACCAGCTCCATATGTATGCATATTCTTTTATTTCTCTTCTTCCACCATAATCTTGATTACTTTTCTTCCATTTTGAATTGCTTTAAATATTTAGTGAAGTAGTCAACGATGATGAAGAACCTCCTCTTCTTACTGATGGATTCATGTTAACGATTGGTCTTTTGTTCCATTGTAGCTAGATGCCTCTTTTCACGATTGATGAAGATCGATGATTGATCGTATGGAGACAGACTTCGTCGAGGTGTACATATGTTACTGCATACGTTATCTATGTTAGATGTTATTCAAAATTTACCAAAATGGTGGCATTCAGTTGTTGAAGCTGCATCTTGATCTGCATTCGGTGATCGCTGGTTGAATACCGAATATGGTGTATAGACCAAGAAAAGCTCAACTGTGCATTGTACATATATGTTCATGCTTGTGGTCGTTGTGGACCTTCGAAAACTTGAATACCTTTGATCAAACGTACAAAGTTGTATTTTTAGAGAAGATAACTACTTGATGTTCTTATGTGGAAAAGATGGCAGGACCAATTATATGTATCAACGTTCTACAAACTGCGTGATATATGTTTGAGATGATTGGTATTTAATTGAATGGTTGTGCAGGTCCATCATATGTCACACTTAATTATGTGAATCTTTGGGCATTGATCTTTTGACCATGAAGGTTGTGACACCATGTTCAATAATGAATTCTATACAACTTATTTTGTAATAGAGGAATGAGATAAAGATTTAATACGGATATGTATTATGCTCATTAAATTATGATATAACAATACAATCAATGGACTACGGCTTAGCGTATAATAATGGGTCTACATACCCAATACAATCAAATGTTGCTATGATCCTACTAGTTGTGCCTAGTAAGATTTTCAATCAAATTAGGACCCATCAATTTCTTCGTACTCAATTGAAAGTCAATTCATGAACTCGTATCATGTGATTATTCATATCGGAATTCTGAGGATTCAAACACAAACCCTTATATAAGTCATCAACTCTAATACCACATTGACAACAATATCATTTTGATAACTCAAAAGTAGTTATGAAGCTCGAATATAAACTTCATAAAATTGTTCTTCAGAAAATAAGTAATGGACAAGAACAGCTATTAGACTTCCTAATATCACAAAGTCTATATCCAAGAGGATAGAGCTAGTAAGGCTGATCACCAACATCAAAGGGCAACCATTGCCATTTTTTCATATAACAATATAACACTGCATGAAGCCCATCAATAGTGTTCTGGTTCATAAGTTCATTTTCGGGCCCAGTGGGCCGGGCCGACGGATCAAACCAAAACTCCCAGTTAGAATAACTTTGAGCTGAAAAGATTGCAAACAAGCCCAAACAGCCCGTGCGCTTGAGACTCTGCTCTGATCTCTTCCATTTACTCAGGAAGGAAAACCAACCCGGTGGCATCCTAATCTTAGTGGAAGTTGAACAGAATTGCATATCCTAGAGAACCACTTTGACATTCATCTCCTCCTACTCACATTAACGTCATGGTCGATTAAGATCAGACACATGCAAGCATGCAATATGCCAAGACTTTGATTGTTGATCGTTCTTTAAGTGTCCATGAATTTAAAAAAAAAAACTTGAAAAGAAGTAACGCGAAAATGAATGAAAATTAATTTTGACACATCCATAAGTAGAGACATATCAAGCCAGGAACTATATGCGATGATGTAGTTATAATTAATGTTCATTACATCATCTATGAGAAGGTGCCTTTAAAGTTGTCGAGTTCCACGATCGTCGAACATATGAACATAATTATCACCACAACCATCCGTGAACCCAATGTAGTAATGTACCAACCTATGATTAGTGGCGGTCAAGCTTGTGGGCGCATGAAGCAGAGTGTCATTGGCTCATTGCACAATCCAAAGCATGGTTGTCACGCCGATCGGCGTGCCACTGGTTGAATCTGGTTCAACCGATACTAGTCATAAAATCGGCGTGACACCATCGGTATGACCGGCATGATCGATATACGAATCACTAAGTAAAATGACCTTATTTTAGTGAGTTTAATTAATAAAAACAATTTTATTATTTATTTTATGAGTATAAAAGTTAAGTATTGATGTTATTTGTTTGATTCAAGTATAAATGTTTAACTATTGACGTTAAATGTCATGTTTAAATATGAGTATTTATAATTTTATTTGTAATATTGACCGGCATGAACCGGCACAAACCGTTATGTGCAACCGGTCGCACCATTCCACTTGCTAAACCGGTACATTAACATAAATCGGTTTGACAACCTTCATCCAAACAAAGACAGTAGTATATTTATTTCCTTTTCTTTGCTCTATGATTCGACTCGAATTGCAGCAAATGCAGGACCAACGCGTGTGTTTCCAGGCCGCGCCTTTCTTCCTCTTCTGGAACCTAACACCCGAGCCGAGCCGAGCCCCTCAAAATGTGGTATTTTTTTCTTCTTTTGTCCCCGCAGACACCACTTTCAAGAGAAACCCCAATTAAACAAACGAACCAACCAAAAACAAACCAGTAGGTTTCTCGATAGGACGACCCAGCTGCCAGCAACTACCACGTTGTGAAAACTCTTTGTGATGCAATCTGACAAATCTGTTTATTGACACTCGAAGGAAACTAAATACAAGAGATTCCAGCCACTTAATCCGGCTCCCACTCTCCTACTAAGTAGCTAACAAACTCTCCACTAACCAACTAACTATGTTGCAGGAACTTGCAGCTCAAGACTCGATTCTGGACTCAATTGACCCTATACTAAGACTCAAGGACTCAAGACACAATTAACCAAAACGACTCAGCACTGCACAGCAGTGCTTTATTGACACAACAGCTAAAACGACGCAGCAACATGCTGCAACATAAAACGACACAGCAGCAGCTTCAAATCAAACCTTCGCGCCAATCCATCCTCGCGCCAAATCTCCTTCTTCCTTCTAACATCCTCCCCTGAACTGAAGACTCTTCGCAGGCTTCAGTTCATCACTTCCCAGCTTCAACAAACACTGCCAACTCACATATTCTAAGTCTGCTTCTCAACACTTCAAATGTTTCCAGTTTTAATGCCTTGGTCATGATGTCCGCGATTTGATCTTGTGTTCCACAGTGTTCCAATTCGATTACCCCTTCTCTTGCCAAGTCTCTGAGGAAGTGAAACCTCACATCTATATGCTTGCTTCGTCCATGAAGCACTGGATTCTTGGATAGCTTAATAGCAGAGCTATTGTCACACAAAATCCTTATACTTCCATTCACACTTCTGTTCCACCCAATCCCTTCCAAAATCCTCTTCAACCAGACATATTGTGTAGCACAAAATGATGCAGCCACCAATGCAGTCAAAAGCGCGATTCTACCTAGAAGCGGAAAAGGGGTAAAATCGTAAAACGTAGAATCAAAGCGTAAAAGCGTAAGTTTTTGACGCATACTGAAAAATAACTAAAAATCTATTAAGTAGGACATATGCTATGCAAAATATGAATGCACAGAATTTAGATAAGTTAATAAATACATGTGATTCATGTTTAAAGTAGAGCAACTTATAGCATCTTAATAATAAGTTCGTAAACATAAATTTTAACGATAAGCCATTTTTCCCTCTATGCTAATGAATTTGGGAAAACCCTAGTTGGTGAATTAGATTACTCTATTGAAGTAGAATGCATCCAAGTACCTAGTATGTATCTTTTAATCTCAAATGTATCATATTGTTAGTGATTTACTTTAAAAATATACTTTTTATAATTAATTTCATGAAAAGAATACTCATGTAGCGAACTAAAAGCGTAAAATCGTAAAGCGTTTTGGTGAACTAGAACCGTAAAACCGTAAGTTTTTAAGTTTTAAACCGCAATTTAGTCCGATTTTAAACACTTAAGTTTTTATATGGAAACGAAAGCGTTTTGGTGACCCAAAAGCGTAAAATCGTAAGTTTTTAAGTTTTAAAGCGCGATTTTGACTGCATTGGCAGCCACAAACTCTGCCTCTGTAGTAGATAGAGTCACAATTGGTTGTTTCTTTGATGCCCACGATACCACCCCATCAGCAAGAAAGAAGGTGTAGCCACTTGTACTCTTCCTGTCGTCCAAGTCCCCTGCATAGTCACTGTCAGTGTATCCTATCAGAGATTCTTCTCCAGTTCCTGCCTTGTACCAGATTCCATGTGACATGGTTCCTTTGAGATATCTCAGCACCCTCTTTGCAGCCAGTAGATGTTGCTTTGTTGGTACTTCCATAAACCTGCTGAGAAGACACACAGAAAACATGATGTCTGGCCTAGTGGCAGTGACATACAGAAGACTTCCTATGAGTTGTTTATACTCAGTAGGATTCACAAGAACTCCATCTCCAGCTTTGGTGAACTTCATCCCAGGAGAGATGGGATTTTTGACAAAGTTGCAGTATGAGAGATGAAATTTTTCCAGCAGATCCTTGGTGTATTTCTGCTGACAGATGAATATTCCAGCCTTGCTTTGATGCACCTCTACTCCCAAGAAGTACTTCATTCTACCGAGATCAGACATCTCAAATTCTGCCTCCATTGATGCCTTGAACTCAGCTATGCAATTAGGATCATTGCTTGTATATAGAACATCATCCACATACAGGCTAACAACCAGTATAGTTGTTCCAGCCTTTCTTATGAATAAAGTATGCTCATAGGTGCACCTCTCAAACCCAGACTTCAGGAAATAAGACTCAATTCTGCTATACCAAGCTCTGGGAGCTTGTTTCAGTCCATAGAGCGCCTTGTGAAGTCTATATACCTTGTGTTCCTCCCCAGCAACCACAAAACCAGGTGGTTGCTCAATATAGACTTCTTCAGAGAGCTCACCTTGCAGGAAAGCACTCTTCACATCAAGTTGGTAGACAGGCAGACCATGATGAGCAGCAAATGCTAGGATGGTTCGAATGGTGTCCCACCTGGCTACTGGAGCAAAGATTTCAGTGTAGTCAATTCCAGGCTTTTGAGAGTACCCCTTAGCTACCAACCTTGCCTTTCTTTTGTCCATAGTATCATCTTCTTTAAGCTTTGTTTTATACACCCATTTGATGCCAATAGGTGTGATTCCAGCAGGCTTGTCTGTTAGTGTCCAGGTCTTGTTCTTTTCAATTGAGTTGAACTCCTGATGCATGGCTGCATTCCACTCAGGATCCATAGCAGCTTCCTCATATGTCTGAGGATCTCCTGAGTCAGCCATCATTGCCATCCAAACTGTATCTGCCAAACCACAGTCATAAATAGACAAGTGAGCAGGTGGTTTTCTTACCCTTGGTCCCAAACTCCCACCTGGCAGTCCCAACACATCAGTAGAGGTGTTTGGGACTTCTTCATCACTCTCTTCTCCTGTGGTAACAGCTGCAGGAGTTTTGGGACTAGGTGGTTGTTCATCTGCCAGACTGGTTGATGCTTCCTGCTCACTTTCAGCTTCTGAGTCAGAATCCTCCCAAACATCATCACTTCCTTCCCACAACAGTTGAGTCAAGACAGGTTGAATCTCTGAGTTCCATGTCCACCCTTTGCTTTCATCAAAAACTACATCCCTG